TACCTCTAACATACATTCCATTCTCTTTCTTTTGATGTGTTTTCTACTTTTTCCCAAAACTACGAAGTTCTAAAACTCAATTCCTTCACATATCCTCCATTTTTTTCTTTGTTTAAGCAGCAGGTGAAACAGTGATTATCTTTTCTTCTTGGAATTTTATATCTGAGTTCTCTTTTCTTTTCCACCTTTCTAAAGCAGGAGTCACAAATGCAAGTCCCTAAGGACCAAGCAGGCAACACATAGGAGTAAGCAGGGGAAGTCTCTGCAGGTGAAATATGAGGGAGTGGTAGAGAGCATGACCAACCAGAAAGCGCCTGTCCCACCTAAAGAAGCAAGAGCTCATTCATTGTGGCCATTTGTTCCCACACAGGAGCGCAGGTGCGCGGGTCCAGTGTTCCTACGTTTTCTGTTTTTTTTTTTTTTAAATATTGAATCAACTATTTTAAAACAAATTTGCCTGCCATTCAAAACACATCTGCAAGTCAAATTTAGCTTTAAGGCTGTGTGTTTGTAAGTAAATCTTGGTTTCATTCACTGGTTTCTCTTCCTATATATCCCCCTAAATGCCAGGAATTTATTGAGTTCCTGCTTACTCACTCTCAGCTTTCCCTTTTAGAGTCTTCTACTTAGTCATCTCACAAACCCATATCTATTACACAGTTTCCACGTCTACAACCCTAGTTTTAACCTTCTTTTTGGAGTTCGTGGGAACTGATTTTCTAATATATTATTGTTCATGCATGTTCTGCTCAACATAACTCAAACTATACTACCAAGTAACTTTTTTGTTTATAGCATCACCCTGTTTCTTGTACAGCTTAAAATGCCAGTCAACTTTCATCTTCTATTCACTAAAACCTGTACAAAGTGTGTGTGTATATGTGCACACTGTTTTGAGAGTATACAAGGGCACTACGCAGTGTTTAAGATCAGTTATGGGAATCAGACCTGCTTGTGTTCCAATCCTAATTTCCTCACTCACTTACCATGCGGCCTTGAGCAAGTTACTTTATCTCTCTGTGCTTCGCTTACCTTACCCGGAAATTGGGATATTGACACTACATACCTCATAAAATTATGAGGATTAAAAAAGTATTGACTAGATAGTACGATACAAAATGGATGATTTTGTTGCCTCAGATTTGCAAAACAAACCTAAAATCAATGTGTGCCAGATCATTTATTCAGGTCTCGCTAAGGACTGTTAGTCTAGTTTTGTGATTCTTAGCTTTTCGGCCACTTTGAGGATATATAAAAATGCTACGGATTAATTTTTAAAGATTGGTAGAGATTTCACTAAGGAGAGAGTTTCTTATTAGCCTATAGCTCAGTGTGCAATACTATGTGCTGAATGCCCTTCAAAGATTACAACATATATGAACCTATTTAATCCTCATAAAAATCTCATGAGAAGTCCTTTATTAGTCCCATTTTACAGAGGAGGAGACTAAGGCAGGTTAAGTACCTGTCTAATTTAACAAGAGAGCCTACGTGAAGAAGCCAGGATAAGAGGGCAAGTGATCGGACCCCCAGCTGCAGGTTTTCATTACCATGCTGGATGACGTCTTTGGAGTTGTCGGAGGACCGCTGCTTTCCTCCTCCCCTCTCCACACAGTACTTTCCTCTTGCCTTAAACCAAGGTATAGGGCTTTGAGAGCATCACTTTGAGAGCTTAAAATGAGCCTCCTGGAAAATGGAAGTTTCATGAGCTGGTATCTGACCTGTTTCTGAAGATAAGAGACTACAGAATGACACTTCAACAACCTGCAAAGTAAAAGAGCACATTTCCTACAAGTTGGATGCCGGCCCTGCAGACGTTATCCTTGAAGAGGATGCCCCGAGAAGGGGGTGGAAGAAAAGAGCAGGGTGAGGCTAGAGTGAAGAAGTCCGCCATTTCTTTCTTCCCTACTTCTGAGCTTGCTCTAGGCCTGGGATAGCCAAGGGAACAAGCTTTATATTTGATTAGAAATTGAAGTTTTGATAGTTTTTAATTGAATTACACAACAAAAAGTAAGAGTGACTAGAAAGCTTTTGTGAGTTTTCTGGAACTTTATCCAGAACCAGAGAAGCATGCATCAACAGAGATGCTGAACAGAGCAGAGATACAATGACATGCTGTACAATATGACTGAGTTCATTCATCCCTCAAACATACTTAGATCCTTCTTATTACTTCCAAATCAAAAACAAAGCCTAAATCTGTTAATGTGTCATCCAGGGCTTTTCATCATTTGACATTATTCTATGCCTTTTATCTTCATTTCCCATCACATACAAACCACTCCATTTATATCTTATATATGTATTTTTTTCATACCATTAGATCTTTGTTCATGCTAGTACCTCTACCTGGGATGAACTCTATACCAGCCCACTCTTCCTTTAGGGTTTGGTTAATATCCCACCTCTTGAAGAAAGCGTTAGGAATTCTCTCTAGTAGGGTTAACCACAGTCTGCTATCAAACATCTATTATCTCAATATCTTTTAAAATATAATTAAAATAAGTGATTTATATACTTTCTCATTCATTAAATTGGGCATGAATTCCTTGAGGGCAAGATATTGTCTTACCTTTTTTAGTATTTCACCTAGCAGTGGTTCCCAACCTTTTTGGCACCAGGAACCAGTTTTTTGGAAGATAATTCTTCCATGGTCTGGGGCGGGCTGGGGAAGATGGTTTTGGGATAATCCAAGCACGTTACATTTATTGTGCACTTTATTTCTATTGTTATTACATTGTAATATATAACAAAATAATTACACAAGTCACTATAATGTAGATTAGTGGGAGCCATGAGCTTGTTTCCTGCAACTAGATGGTCCCATCTGGGAGTGATGGGAGACAGTGACAGATCATTAGGCATTAGATTCTCATAAAGAGCATGCAACCTGGATCCCTCACATGCACAGTTTTGCAATAGGATTCACATTCCTATGAGAATCTAATGCCGCTATTGATCTACCAGGAGGCGGCGCTCAGGCAGTAATACGAGCAACGGGGAGTAACTGTAAATAAAGATGAAGCTCCACTCCCTTGCCCGCCACTCACCTCCTGCTGTGTAGGCCTGTTCTAACAGGCCGCAGACCAGTACCAGTCTGTGGCCCAGGGGTTGAGGAACCCCCATATACCACCAAACAGATAATAGGTATACAAAAATCTCAAAAGATAATAACAAAATTAAAACTTAATGGGTACTATGACCTGAGGCCTTTCTCACCTTCAATGTACTCTAAAAACTTCTCAGGAATACTGACACCATATGGACCTTTTTAGGATGTTTGCTTGCAAAAGACACAATGATATTTATACACAGTGTCATTAAAAAAAAATTAGAGAGGAAAGAGTTCTATATGTCAGACTGGTCCTTACATTTGAATATTAAGAAATTATAGTACTAGAATGAATAGATACCAAACAAGTAAATATAAATCATAAGTAGATAAAATTTAATCATAAGTAGAATAAAAATTGCAGAACACAGTGGACTAATAGTCCAACTAATAACACACAAAAAGTCTGTGTCTATATCCATATGAAAGATACATGTTTTGGAGGGTCATTTTGGATGACGCACTTTGTAGAAATAAGAATTTATTTTGCGCTTTGCCAGATATTCAATTCAGGACTCTGGAAGCAAGCAGGAAGAGTAATCACAGATTACTGTAGGCAGCTAGCCAGCTATATTTACTCCAACACACAGAGACTTTTAAACACAGTCAAGATTAAGCAGTCCTCTAAAAACGAAAAAAAGACAGACAATTCCGCATCTGCAGAATGTAGAGAAAACTGGTTAGGTCATTATGTTAGATGAAGAACTGGATATATAATCAACGTTTGTTTCTTTTTTCTTGAGACAGAGTCTCACCTTGTCATCCAGGCTGGAGTGCAGTGCTATGATCTCAGCGCACTGCAACCTCTGCCTTCTAGGTTCAAGCAATTCTCATCCCTTAGTTGCCAGAGTAGCTGGGATTACAGGTGCCTGCCACCATGCTCACCTAATTTTTGATATTTTTAGTAGAAACAGAGTTTCACCATGTTGGCTACGCTAGTCTCAAATTCCTGACCTCAGGTAATTCAACCCCCTCAGTCCCCAAAGAATTGGAATTACAGGCATGAGCCACCATGCCTTGTCCTATAATCAACTTCTGATGTACAACATCTGTCATTAGGCTTGGTCCAGTTGGACAAGTAGGGATGCTGACTGATATAAAGGTTCCACTGGGAAATGCCATTACTGCTGTGGTGTACCAGGCAACTTAGGCTGTAGAAATAGGTTGAATATGCTATACTGCTATATAAGGACCAAAAAAAAAAAAAAAAAAAAGATAAACACTATCCCTCCACCATTAAATTGAGTGTAGACTATTATGGCATGTGACATTTCAACAATGTTTTTGGCTATGTCACCAACGACTTTGGCATTCTGCAAAAATGAGGCCAAAAATAAAACGTTAATGAAATTTCTTGACTATTTAGGTTTCTCCATGGAATCTTAAATTCCTTTATTGTCTCTCAATTTTATAAGCAGGCAGCTACAAAATTAATATTAGCAAGTACTGTCTCATCTGATAGATATGTAATATTGGTATGTACTTTACTGATTATCTAGTCCTCAATTACTAATTACATTACTTCAGACAAATAACTTAATTCTTCCTAGATACGGGAAATAGGGGTGATAATAGTACCAATTTCAGATGGTTGTTGAGGTTTAAGTGAGTGTACAGGTGGTAAAGACAAAGTACAATGTGTAATACAGAGCAGGTACTCAATTAATACGAGCTTTGAGTAACAGGTCACTATATAGCACGTATATATTTACTACATAACGTTATTCCCTATATGTTGAATTATATATTATATACATTATTATTATATAGTTGAACTCTTTCCTTTTATATAGAGACACTAAAGGCAGAAACAGTTATTTGCTTTTCTTTTTCTTTTTTTCTTTTTCTTTTTTTTTTTTTTTTTTTGAGACGGAGTCTTACTCTGCCACCCAGGCTGGAGTGCAATGGTGTAATCTCAGCTCACTTCAATCTCCACCTCCTGTGTTTAAGTGATTCTCCTGCCTCGGCCTTCCAAATAGCTAGGATTACAGGCATGTGCCACTATACCTGGCTAATATTTGTATTTGTAGTAGAGATGGGTTTCACCATGTTGGCCAGCCTGGTTTTGAACTCCTGACCTCAAGTAATCTACCCACCTCAGCCTCCCAAAAGGCTGGGATTACAGGTATGAGCCACTGTGCCCAGACGACATTTATTCACTTTTCTAAGGTAACTCTGTTGCATTTAAAAGAAACGATTGCATGCAGTTGAACATGAATATAGAAGGAAATAAATCTGGACTCTTGAGATGAAGCTTAGGAATCATCATTGTCTGATGTTAATCTTCTAATCCAGTTGAAAAGGCTTCTTGTGAAAAGTGTTTTCAGAAATGGAGTAGAGACCAGTGAAGCTACGGTACTATGCTTTCTTGATTTCCTCTTGCTATCTTTAAAGACTGAGTAATTCAATCCAGTTTAACAAATATTGACCATTGGGTATTTTTTAGTATCATGAACACTGTGTTTTCCGTCTTTTTTTTTTTTAAACTCTGAATTATTTCAATGTAATTTTAAGTTGTCAAGAATGTTCTTTAATCTAGCAAATCTTTGTTGAGTACCCTTTCTATATTGAAAAGTGGAGGGAGGTGGGTACAAAAATTAATGATAGTCTTAAAATAGTCTTAAAAATTAATGATAAATAGTCTTAGCAGGCGACTAATTATAATACAATATGCTTGATGCTGCTATGGAAGGAAAGGCTCTAGTATTTTGTTAGTTTATATATACTGGAAAATAAAAATGCTTGAGGAATTTTAAGGGGTAATAAAAATAGAGGAAGAAAACATGTGTTACAGGAAAGAGCAATGAACAATGACACCATGTTTTCAATGTACATGATGCTTGAAAGAATGACTAAAATATGTGAGGTGTATGTGAGCATGGTCAAAAGCCAACTAGAGACAGGTGTTTAGTGCTATAGACTTCATTATAAACAGTATCCATAGTTCAATGAAGTTTATAAAGTAATGACAAGATTAACTTTGTTTTTAATGATCTATTTGAGACACTGGAAAGTGATCAAGCAGAAAAAAAGAACAACTCTTGCCCCCCACCCCCACCACCTTTAGCAGATATGTGCTAAAAATGACGGCTAATTTGAATACTAATTTTTGAAAATACAGATAGGAAAACAAATCTTCTAAAGACCAAATCCACCACTACTCAACTTAATGGTTTTCTATCAGCTGCACCATGACTCCCTTCCATTCCTTTGGATGATGGGGAGATGAACACATTGATAATGAAATACCCATCAGTCCTCAACCACATCCCTATTTTAAAGCTGAATTTGCAAAATAGCTTTTTGAAAGGCCTGTCACTGCTGCACTGTCGACTCTGTCGCACTTCTCTGTGGGAGCTGACATTTTGCTAGTACTTCATCAGGCTGGACCGCCTGCTGAGAGCCAGATTGGTAAGGGAAATGCATCTCTCTGTGGGAGAGGATAGGAGATGTATTATTTAAATACAATTTATTTTATAGCAACTTTGAAAATCAGATTTAGATTTACAATTGTTTCAGAGAATAAGTGTCTTGTTGTACCTTAGCAATTTGTATTTGGTAATATTTAAGACTTTAATTGCTTTTCTAATTTTTAAAATTTGGTTGCTGTTTTACCTTCTTTACACATACTTTTACTTCTACCTTAGATAACTGATAACTATCTTTTCTTCTTCCTCCTCCTCCTCTTCCCCTCCTCCTCTTCCCCTTCTTCTTCTCCTTCTTCCTCTTCTTCTTCTTCCTCTTCCTCCTCTTCTCTCTCTCTCTCTTTAATGACACACAAAAGTATGTCATTAAAGACACCTCATTCGTGCTGGGTGTGAGGTAGAGGAAGTTTGAAAACCAGCTTAGAGGTTGTTAAAGGATTCTCTAGATTGAGTCAATATCCCAGCTATATGAATTCTAGAGGAGAAGACTAGGGAGACTGTGTTTACACATAAAGAAACTCATACCTTCTTTTGTCTGTTTTTTGAATCATGAATCCATTTAGCCAAATAGTTGATTTTTGTCTTAAAAATAAAATAGGCTATCTAAATACCAAATTTTTGTTAGTTGGAACTATTTGTTGGTTAGTTCAACCAGAAAGGTCAAACAGGTTATCCATTTAGAAACAGCAAAATAAAACTGCTACCAGAAAAGTCATAAAAGTTAAGGAATGGTTTGGTGTGTTCAGAATACAATAATACTTGCCAGCCAATGGTATGCTGGAGCCATAACTACCTGCTCCGGAAAGCCGACTGTTACATTTTCAGGAATTTTGCAAGCCATTTGAAATCACATTGATTGCTTGAAATCATCATGGTAGGAGTATCATACCCTGGCAATCAGCAAACACTAAAACTCAGTGCTTTTATCTTTCATAGAGCCTGATAAACATTTGTCAGCTTAGCACTGCAGAAGGCTTACACCTGTTTTCATTACGGTTTTTATGAAGTTTGATCAAATGATATTTGACACATGGCTGTATTTGGAATTAGTACCTTTTCTTTATTCTCTCTCTAATTTTTTTTTCTCCTTTAGTACTGAAGGGGCCTGTTTTGTAAGTGCTCCTGAAGAATAGGGCAAGATTCAGAGAAGTAATAACTAAATGACTAAGGAATAGAAAATGAGGTTTCTGAAGAAAGGAAAATAAATGTTCAGAGGAAATGTTACTATGCTCTTTTAGATGTTCCTTTTTAAGAGTTTTGGTAGTGCTGATGAGCTATGGTTAATATTCACAATAGAAGAAAAAGGAGAAAACTGTCTTAAATTAAAATAGCAGTAAGTTCAATAAGACTGAAGGAAAAAATGGCTTCATTATTATGGGAACAGTTTAAACCAACAGAGAGTACTTTAAGAATAGATAACTATTTTTCTTGGATATTTGGTCAACTATTGGTCTAAAGATGATGCCATTTCCTTCTCTAATTGCTAAGGAAAAAGTGGTAAACTAGTAAATATGAAAAAGACAGCAATGTATAAAGGAGAAAAATATTCACCCATAGTCCCACCATCTAGAGATGGCCACTGTTTAAAAACTGCTGTCCTTTCTTCTACAATTTCCCATATACATACATAGGTACGTGTTCTTACAAATTTGAATCATTTTCTATACACAGCTTTTAATGTCAATTCAACGTCAATTTTTTTGACATTACATATTCTTCTAAAACATGAACCTTAATGGCCTCAGAAGAGTCCAGTGGTATTAGATAATTTGCTCAATCATTCTCCTTCTAGTGGGTATTGGTTGTTTCTACTTTATGCTTTTGTTTTTATAAATAATGCCGGGATAAAGAAAAGGCTGGGAGCACTTTTCTGATTATTTGCTAAAACGTCGGACATATAAGACTTAACTGCCATTCACAGAGATGATACATTCTTATCAAGGGTGTGAGAGTGCCTGCGAATCCGCCCCCACAGCCATGCCACACTATACAGATGCTGTTTAGGAAGCAAAAACAAAAAAACAGCAACAAAAAACAAATCTACCACAATCCAGAGGATTTTTTAATACAGTGAAATAAAATATTTAAAAATATTTTCCCCAAGTATTTGTATTTATAACTTCCAAACAACAGGATTTATAAAAAAGCCAAAATATTTAACAACAGCTTTTTGGTCTCTCCTGCCTCTAAAATATATTACTTACATACCCTATAAGTATTTTTACAGTTCATTATGCAGAGTAACTAGGTTTTAAAATTCTGTGAGCACCATAACAGAATATTTAGAGAAATGTTGCACGCTTTTCTTCAAATACAAGCCACTTTTAAAATGCCACACACATTCTTTGTGAAGTATGCATGAAGCATTTTAAATGAATTCTATCATTTGGTTTCATTCATTTTCCTAAATATCTTATTATGGTGATTATATAATTTGTGTTTGTGTCTCTGTGTGTAAAATCAGATAATAGCATGTAATACAAAAATTGGACTGGACTAGAAGCCAGGGAATATTTTTGTGTATTGAATTCAATACATGTATCATTATCAAGTTGCTAATAAAATGCAAAAAGTATTACTCATCACTAAAAATTCTCTCAGGGCTATCATAAAATGTTCTTCTGGGATTCGAAATCATAGAAGGAAAGAAGTGTAACGTAACTATTAAAATTAATATTTTAAAGAATGAGGAGTTTGTCTTTTTCTTCACTTGTTTTTAAATGGTCTATTTATATCACTTGACAATTGGAACAGTATAAACTTTATCACTATCTGCTTAATAATTATTCCATTAAAATTGAGTTAGACAAGAGAAAATGTCACTTCACTGTGGAAATAGCAAGTAACTACCTTTTGAATATGTAAATTTTTACCTTTAAGCAGTTTTTTTTTTTTTTTGAAGCAAACAAGTAGGTTAGGGACAGCCAACTGCTTCTCCAGTAAACTATTCCGCTGTTTGAAATGCTTGTCAAAAGTGCCAGAATGACAGTTCTAAAATAAACTATCTTGCTATATACAGAAAGTCATCAAAGATCTAGTCCTATAACTTTAGCTTGAGGGTTCTCCTTAGGGGCAGCAGCATTTCCCAAAGTGATCATACGATTAGCTCACTGCTAACTACTATCTGCTTACATTTTATATATGATGCTTCTGGTTTATATATTTGTTGGTTAATGGAAAGAACTAAGCACTGAAAGTTAATTCAAATCACTGTTTTCACTTCATAAAATGATAATCACAAATGTTTGCTAATCTCTATTAGACAAATTTGAAATAGTAATGTAAAAAAACAGCATCATTACTATCCAGCCCATAGCTTTCCTCACGTTCTCAAATCACTGTGTTTCATTGTCAATGGAGTAGAGAAGGTGAAAAGGCAGGGTTACCACCGCTTACAAAGAATCACAACCAGAAAAGGGCACCACAGGATAGTTGTTCTACCAGCTCCTTGAAACTAGTTCCATGTAGCTAATCACTTTTTATCAGCCCCTAATCTGCTCCCATCTGACAAGAATGATAATTCTAGTCTAGTGGGTTCTTTTTTTAAAAATTTATTTATTTTACTTTAGGTGCATACTATATGTGGCATTTCTCCCCATGTTCTCCCTCCCCACCCTCCCTCCCCGCCCCACCCCCACTGTCTCTCCCCTACCCCGGCAACTGTCCCCAGCATGTGATGCTCTTCTCCCTGAGTCCACGTGTTCTCGTTGTTCAACACCTACCTCAGCCCAAAATCTTCTCAAACTGATAAGCAACTTCAGCAAAGTCTTAGCAAAATCAATGTGCAAAAATCACAAGCATTCCTATAAACCAATAACAGACTTAAAGAGAGCCAAATCAAAAATGAACTGCCATTCACAATTGCTACAAAGAGAATAAAAGAAATATCTAGGAATACAACTAACAAAGGATGTGAAGGACCTCTTCAAGGAGAACTACAAACCACTGCTCAAGGAAATAAGAGAGGACACAAACAGATGAAAAAACATTCAATGTTCATGGTTAGGAAGAATCAATATCATAAAAACGGCCATACTGCCCAAAGTAATCTATAGATTCAATGCTATCCCCATCAAGCTACCGATGACCTTCTTCACAGAACTGGAAAAAATCACTTTAAACTTCATATGGAATCACAAAAGACCCCGCATAGCCAAGACAATCCTAAGCAAAAAGAACAAAGCTGGAGGCATCACACTGCCAAACTTCAAACTCTACTACAAGGCTACAGTAATCTAGTTGGTTCTTTTAATCTAGTTGGTGCCTTTCAGTATAAATCTGAATAGCATACTATGGTAGAGTGCTTCCAAAAACAGCTGCAACCGTATCTCCCAACTTGCAGTGCTTTGCAATAAGCTTCTGTTACTCTTCTCTTCAGTAGGTAGAATCTATTTCTCCTTCCACTGATTTGCTTTAACCAATAGAATGTGGTGAAAGTGACAGTGTGTGGCTTCTGAGGCAAGGCTTTTCCACCTCACAAAGTTTTTGCTCACGTACTTTCGGAATGCTCCTTCTTTATTGTCTGAAAACTGTCATGCTGTGGGGACGTCCAAGCTAGCCTTGTGGAAATGTTTTATAGAGGAAAGGCCAAGTTCCCTGCTTGAGCAGCCCAGCCACACTCAATCTGTTCTCAAATATCTACCAGCTGAAGCAGTCACATGAGGGAACCCAGGGTATACCAGCAGTATGTAGAATTAAGAGAAATGGTAAATCATTGTTTTAAGCCACAAAGTATTGGAGTAGTTTGTTACACAACACTAAATAGTGGGAACATATATCCTAACATAGCAATATTTTCTATAGCAGGAAAAAAAAGTATTTACAAAGCTAACAACTTTATCAACTTTGTTGGTTATTTAGTCTAGCTTCATGACTTACATATGGTACTTGATTTTCCTGTGTAAGCAGGAGTGCAGTCACAACTTCCAGTTTTTCTGTTGCGCTGACCTCCATTTTCACAGGGCACATAGGAGAGCCAGCACTCTGGTCCCCAGAGGCCATCTGGGCAGACATAAAATAAAAAGAGAGAGAAAGAAAGAAACAGACTTGTAAGAAGTCTCAAAATGGTCTGAGATTTCTACTCTTGCCTAACCAAATTGGAAAAGTGTGTGTGTGCGTGTGTGTGTGTGTGTGCGTGTGTGTGTGTGTATGACTGAGCTGCAAAGAAAGAAACATCCTGGTAGCCTCCAAGGATTTATAACACTTCCGAAAATATTCCCCAAAGAAATCAACATGATGCTATATCTTGTCACTTTGAAAACACAGATACAGAGGTTGGCTTTTTGCTGAAAATGTGGTTTTTCAGAGAGGAACAATGGAAGCAATTTTGATATATATCCTTAGTGGCAGTTGCACAGAACAAAACCTGAAAATGAGATGTAATTTGTAAAGGAAGCTCAGGAGGCATGGCACTCAGGAAGTTGCCCCCAAATGGTTGCCTAAATCCTGTTCTCCCAGACTTTTGCTTCTTTTGTGAGCTAAAATAATCACATCAGAGTGTTGTGAATTAGGGACTTTATAAGAGTACACAATGCATAATGTGGGCGAAGAGACATAGGGATCTGCTTTGTTGACTGTTCTTTGAACTAGCAAAGGACAAGTGACGGTACAGGGACCACTGTGGGCTTGGTGAGAGGTTTCAGTGTGTGTTCTACCATAGAAACCACTGGAATTAGAAACCTGGTGGAAAGCATTTTTTAATCCAAGGAAAAGGATGGAACTTTCTTAAAAATTAACAGTTACTGAAAGTTACATCAAAGCAAGCTGGGCTGTGAAGTATCTTCTTGTCCTGACAGTGCCTCAGAATAACAGAATTATAATATTTTCGATCTGTTGATCACTAACTTTGTTAAACACTTTATGTAAATTAGCTCATATTTCCAAAAAAGAACCCTATGGCATAAGCAAATTTACTTCCATTTTATATAAGAAACAGAGGCTCCTAGAAGTTAAGAGACTTACTCTACATCACAAAACTTGAACCCAGATCTTCTGGCCTCTGAAACTGGTGCTCTCTGCCACTACATTCAAATTTACTCTGCAATACTAGGTACTCAGCACCTTTCTGGCCAATTAATCTGCCCTTAGAGATTCACCAGAGTTCAAAATTCAAAGTTCATCTGATGTGGAACTCTTCTAAAACCATCTGTCTTTCTCACCATGATCTAAGGGTTGTATAGTGTCAAGGGGCCTGCTGGACCACACAGTCCTCTACATTCTGAAGTCTGCTTGCAGTAGACATGCAAAATACTCCAGGCTACAAACTAATCAAAACAAGGCAAAGACACTGGCTACTTTAATTTTGTTGTTGTTGTGGTTGTTGTTTTGCTATTTCACAGGTTAGTTGTAGAAACCAGCTCTTTTGTTCTTAGAAGTCGTTGCTGGTAAGCTAAATAAGGTCTGGTGCTGATTGCGGAGAATATTGTTCATTAGTGCCATTGAAACAATTTCCAGTCTTTAATTAACTATTCAACTGCAATCTAGACACAGGTTTGGAGTTAAGATTTTTAAAGATATGTCTGTCTCTAGGAGCACTTGGGCTACTTTACTCTCTTAAAAAGGAGAAAGAAAAACAACAGGCCTGATTTTCATCATGCACAACTCTTGGAGAGCTCTTTTTGTCTTGATTTTAACTGCCAATCACAGCAAGCCCATTCACCTGCTCCAGTCTGATTCATAATTTCATTTTGTGGCTAGACAAAAATATCAGAATTGGACAAAGTTATCTGATTGAAAAATAATGTTTTCCAGAGATTGTGGTTACCTCTTTATTTTGCTGATTTACATATACTTTCAACTCATTTTCCTTCACAGTGGGAATCTCAGAAGCATTTTCCAACAAAGCATATTCAGCAGCTGCTTTAAGAAAATGTTACCAGAATAAATTAAGTTTACCCAGGTTTGTGTATATGGCATCGTCTCCTCCATTGACTTCCAGGACATGACTTTTCCAGGGGGAAAATGAATAAGGGGCTGACTCTGGGCTTAAAAATCAGTTGAAGCAGGAAGATGTTTAGAAATTGGCATGAGACCCACTCTCATACCACATTAAACTTGTTAGTGTAATGTTAGGCTTCTGTTTCCCCAACTTCCTTTCCCCATTGCCTAGAAAGTCACAATCCAGCTACCTAAGTAGCGTCTGTCTGTGAAATCTAGATGGGCATCACTGCTCACCCTCTCCAGTACTAAACCACTAGACAGCCTGGATCAGAGAACTCCTCTTTCCATTCAGCTTCAGGGAAGCTCTGCAGACCCTCTGAAGGCAGCATTGCAAGGAGAAAATGAGGATACGTGAGTGAGTGTCAAAGACCATTTCCAATCCTAGCACCTGCCTCTGTAAGTGGCCCCAGTGAGATGATGGTTTCTTTTCAAACCTATGATCTCCTTCTGATTTTAAACAAGGTTGCCCTTTGGATCAATGTTAAGGCAAAAGTATCACATCTTACCATTAGTTGTGATAATATTACTATTATTTGCTCAGTATTGCTTTAAGAGAAAAAATGCTGTGGTATTTTCCTCTGAAATATAGTAGTAAGTGCTTAATGCAAAATACATGATAATACAAGAAAAATATATAAAGAATAAAAAATGCACATTTATCTATTGATTTAAGAAAATATATATTCAGCAACATCTGTATGTCAGGACTGTTTTAGGAGTTTGGGGATACTTGGCTGAACAAAATTTTTAGATACCCTTCACTCATGGGGTTCTGATTATAACAGGAAAAGACAAGCAAGAAATATTTGACATAATCATAATTAGAGTATGTACTATATTAGAAAATAATAAGCACTATAGAAAAAGAAAAAAGTTGGGAAACTCACAAATTACATGTTTGTTGTTGTTGTTTGTTTAAGACAGAGTCTCTCCCTTTCACCCAGGCTAGAGTGCAATGGCATGATCTCGGCTCACTGCAACCTCTGCCTCCCAGGTTGAAGAGATTCCCCTGCCTCAGCCTCCCAAGTAGCTGGAATTACAGGCATCTGCTACCATGCCCAGCTAATTTTTTGTATCTTTAGTAGAAACGGGGTTTCACTATGTTGGCCAGGCTGGTCTCAAACTCCAGACCTTGTGATCCACCCACTTTGGCCTCCCAAAGCACTGGGATTACAGGCATGAGTCACCAAGCCCAGCCCAAGCTGCAGTTTTAAGTAAGGTAGTACTGAAAAGATTCAGTAAAAAAGTTACTTGAGACTTTTTGAAATATGAAAGAGTTATACAGGTCCCTAGGAAAGAGCATTTCATGAGTGCATAAGTCAGAGATAGTCAACACTGGCATCTTGAAATACCTTTTTCCAAACTGTATATGGACTTACACACACACACACACAAACACACCCCTATATGTGTTACTTGTAATTATAATCACACTATTCATAAACTTATATATTTAAGATTTATTTTAAAAAGTAATACCTACAAATTTGAAAAACAAAAACAAACATAACCATATTTAAAATTTTCAAAGTTTTTCTATGGTTAAATATTAACATCTTTGAATAACATTTGTTTGAATGACCCATCCTTAAAGAAAATGATTCTTTAATTCTGGAAGTTAGCAGTGCCTTGGGTTGATTAGTTCAGCTCAAAGAAGTAGTTGCCTAGCTTTAATCTTTCTCGATATAATTCTCTGCAATGTGATCTTTCTTCCCTTGCTCAAGCTAACAAGGGGACAGGAAGCAGCAGAGGCTAAGAAGATTGCATTAAATAACTTTATTGCCCTATGTCTCAGTTTCCTCACCTGCAAATAGAGGATTAATAGAGCTTACCCATCTTCTGAGGGCACTGGTGGATTAACTAATTAATAATCATATGATACTGAACAAAGGCTGAGGATTATTATTAGAGAAGAAAGAAAATCTATCATCAGAGCTTACCTTTCTGGCATCTGTTGCCTTGGTAACCAGATTTGCAGATGCAACTACCATTTTTGGCACTGCATTCCAGGGTGTTCTCCTCCACACACTGACATTCTGAAGAGCAGCCAGCTCCGCAGGTACCCTTGGGACAGTCTGCAAGCAAATTGAGACAAACCGGTCACCTGAAAACCACGCTTTGTTTATTTTAAATTGTTAGTGCACAGGCATGTAGTTCTGTGGGGCCTGATTATGGGGAAAACAAGAAGATCATCCTGACTGCCAAAAAAATAAGGAAACAAATGTCTTTTAAATCAGGCAATTCATTTGTTTTTTGGCAAATGGATGTGAGCAGTGAAGCCTGAACTACTTAAAAGGCTTTGGTGCTTCCGGGAGAGAAATTGCTTCTCAATGTGCTCCATTGGTGCTTATAGTTAATATTCTCCAAAGAATGCTGAGGTCTGCCAGGCCCCATATTTGTCCTGCTGCAGCATGGAGATGACGGACAAGCATTTATGAGAAGGCTGGCCATGGTTTTCATTCCCTTCCATTATATGGTAATCGGAAATAATTTCACATCGTGAAGGTAACACAAAGCTTTCATGGTGACGGCAGCGTTATTTTGGCCACATCTTTAGCAAATGGTGCCTGCCTTCCTTTCATTATTTTCTCTATGGCATTGAGCATTAGGGATGGAAGTTAGCACAGAAATTTTAATATGAAAAAGTCGCACTTTGCATTCAGGACAACATACCCAGTTTTCTCTTTGATGAGTGTTAACAGTAATTCAGTTCCCTTTTCAAAATGTCCCTCTGACATTTTTTTTTTTCTCCCACATTACAGATGTCCAAGTGACATATCAAGTAAAAAAATCCTTCAAGTGGCCTCCAGGCTTAAGGTGATAGTATTGTGTGCCCACATAGGCTTTGCTGTAGGAAGCTGCTTAGTGAGAACAATTGACTTTCCAGTGGATGGAAAAAGACATTAGTAGAGATCATTCAAAGTGGTGGTTATGATGCCATCACGGACGGTCATGCTAGTCCCAATTGTCAGGGATAGCCCAGAGTTACCTCTAAAGTTATCAGCATCCTTTTCAGGTTTCCCAATGTAGATAATAAATTATATGATCCTCTATTACCTTTTCTATGGCTTCCAAGTTTTGAATCCTTTCCTAAACCCACCAGGTCCCAGGGTATCTCAGGCTACTGCCTGCCTTCATGTAGGCCTCTTTTTGCTCATTACTAAGTCCTCACTCTGAATTGGCCTTCATGCCCTATTCCTTCTGGTTAAGCACATAGAATAACAGTTCAGAAGACACAGAGTCACAAATAAATGCTTCAATATGACCATCTGTATATAAAGAACAAATCGCTATAGGAATATATCTGGAAATAAGGAAAAGTGAAAGAAGTGACCTCTACATTGCCCATGCAGGATTTGTAATGAATTGAAATGTATACACCAAAAATTTATATGTTGAAGTTCTAACCCTCTAGCACTTCAGAATGTAAATTTATTTGAAACTGAATTATTGCAGACATAAGTAGTTAAGATGAGGTCATACTGGAATACGATGGCCTCTAATTCAACATGACTGCTGTCCTTATAAATAGGGGATATTTGTATGCAGAGACGTGTACCACACAAAGATTAAAGTTATATTGCCACAAGTCAAAGAACTACCAGAAACTAGGAGACAGGCCTGCAAAAGATTTGTTCCTAGCACCTTCAGGGGGTTGTGGACACCTTGATCTTGGACTTCTAGCTTACAGAACCACAAGAGAATACATTTCTGTTGTTTAAGCCATTCAGTCTGTGGTACTTTGTTATGGTGGGTCTAAAAAATGAATATAGAGTTGCAAATTCAAGTTCCTCAAGACCAAGAAAGTAACATAAATAAATAAATCTTCAAGTCCAAGCAATAAGGGAGTCACAAATAATAAGAATGTATCTGTTTTCTCTAAAGATAGCTATATTCAGAATGCTAACCACCACCGCCACCAACAACAAAGCTATTTGCTGATTTTTTTCCTGTGCCTCAACTCCTCACAGCATGCAAATGAATAAGCATCTGCTATGCCAGTATTATTAAACCCTAAAAACTTCAGCTTGATATTTCTGAGAAGTTAGCGCTTTAAATTTTTGGCCAGATCAATAATGACACAATTTTTTTTTTTTGCCATAACATCTGATACAACCTTTTAAGATATTCTAAGTTTAATACTAAAAGTGGGATGTGTCTTGTTATGCTACAGCACAGTAATACAAATATTATCTTTGTTTCTCGGTCAGTCTCCTTCTTTTGGCATATTCTAGGAGGTATATAATATTCCAGAACATACAATCTGCACCTCTATTGCTCACAGTTTCTCACACCTTTCCCCTTCTCTTCTATCTTGCTTGTCTAAGCCTAATGTTTCCTCATGTTCCAGGTTCAGTGTTCTATGCCTTCACTGGCTGTCTTACTGGTATCTTTATAATTTATCTTTTCTCTGGACATGACTTTTATAAAATAGATGAGAATCGTGGACATTCACTAAAAATAAAACATAAGACCCTAAGGTGTCTGTTATTAAGAGATGGTATAGTATAAAGTAGTCCTATGGCTAGAAAGTTTTTGTCCTCCCAAAATTTGTATATTAAAATCCTAACTCCTAGGGCTATGGTGTTAGCAGTGATTAAGTGATTAAGTCATAAGGGTGGGGCTTTCGTGAGCAAAATTAGTGCCCTTAAAAGAGACCCCAGAGAACTGCCTTGCCCCTTCCACCATGCATGAGAACACGGTGAAAAGATGCCATTTAAGAACCAACAAGTAGGCCCTCCTTAGATACCAAATCTGGTGTCTTGACCTTAGAGTTCCCACTCTTCAGAACTGTAAGAAACAAATATTTGTTAATTATGTACAACTTGGCTTATGATATTCTGTTGTAACAGCCCAAATGACTAAAACACTGATGTTCAATCAGGAAAGATTTTCAGAGGTGTTAGTCTGTCAATAAAAAGAGGAGAGGATATGAAATAGGTAGAAGAGCAGGGTGAAGATTGTTGCAAGCTCACAGATATTTGCACATAGCGTCAAGGTGGGATGGAGAACATTCAGAGTTATTTCACTGGGATAAATTTTAAAAGTTACTGGTGGGTTCGAGAATTTGTTAGTGATTGTGTTTTCTTGCATCCTTTGAAAAATATGATTAATAGTCTGCATAATTAGAAATCTTAGAGAATGAGACTGCTTCACCTTGGAACAGAGAAATAAAAGAAACCTGTTCTGGCCGGAGGTATTGAACTTTGGTAAAGTAACAAATGCCCGTTTAAACAGACTAATAACAATCCACTCCAATTAATTAAGGTAAACATTAACCAAATGTAAACAAAATTAGAAACATTTTTCTTTCATTCACCAAAATGTAGATTCTATAAAGAGGCTAAAGGCTAGAACATATTTGTCACATATGTGTGTGTGTGTGTGTGTGTGTGTGTGTGTGTGTGTGTATAAAACTGTAACAAACATTTTTTACTTTCGTTTTTGTCTGATAGTAGCCTCTGTACTTTTCTGTGCTTTTGTGCTTTACACACAGAGCAAATTAAGTGCCTGCAAGTTACTCAGATGATAAAACCTCCCATAGCGCCCTGGCTCACACATATGGGGGCCATACATCCTGTGGCAATGGCCATTGTTGGCACAGTTACATTTCCTTTCACAGTTCTTCCCAAAGAACCCTTTTGGGCATGCTGAAGGGTGAGAGGACAAACGAAGAAAATAATATTAACCCACATCTCAACTTGCTAGAGTTATTGTTACAGGAAGTCAGGAGATTGAGAAAGGTGAAATGTTTGCAATCTAGTTGAACTGAGACTACAGAGGTCTTTTAAAAACCACAAAGATGCTTCTGTATCCTCTGCTTAAAATCCTACGATAACTGGTTATTGCTGTCAGGTCAAAAACACCTAACTTAGTAAGACTGGAGCCCCTACCCTTGCTGACCTCCTGCTGCACTGCCATCTCCCTGTCTGCCTGTGCTCCCCTCCGCTGGCCTCTGCAGGTTTCACAGTGCATCCCATGCCTTCCCACCGCCCCTCAATCAGGAATGCTCTTCCCTCACACTTCCCCTCTTTAATCTCTCCACATTTTGCAGGCTTTTGCTTAAATATCCCTTCTCCCTAAGTCTCTCTCCCAGGCTCATACAGTCTGCATTGTCTTCATGGTCTCACCTTCAATCAGGTGTTAGTATTTAACTTGTAATACCTACCAGTATTTGTAATATACAGTCGCTTTGAACAAAATCGCAAGTTCCACATGGAAGCATCAGAATATTTTTTATTTCTTTTTTGTTACCATAATGTCTGGTGCCATTCCTTGCAACTACTTAATGTATATTTTAAATAAATAAATGAACATTGCTCACAAAAGATGAGTAACCGAAATGCCAGCAGGGACCTTACTGTACCTCAGAAAGTGAAGTAAACTTGGTTTCCCCAATTCCATCATCTATGAGAAGCTAATAAACTCTTCATGATCTGGCAATCCCTAGAGACTTACATCCTCATTGACTCTCTGCCTTCAGCTTTTGTGCCTGTACAAGCGGGTTCCTTTTTTGTGTTTTATTAACCCATGTAGGAATTGTGGCCTCTTCACTGGTTTACACAGACACACACATACACACACACACACACACACACACACACACACTCTGTGCACATCGATATTTTGTGACATTTTTATTCCTCATTTTTTCTTTTTCTCTCTACCTCCTCCCCTTTTCTTCTCTAATTTTCATCTGTCATTCTCCCTGGTTTCCCCAAGGAAATCTGTTGTTCTTCATTTTGTTATGCAGAGAACACAAATTCTCCTAAACTCCTACATCTAAACCTGTATTAACTTTTTCCTCTGTAGAAGAAAAAGGCTTTCTCTGTAAGAGGATTCATCCTGCTTAGATCACAGTTGGAGATTTAAGTATCACTTATTTTGTTGTTACACATGTCATCAGTCAAAACAATTGTACTCGTGTGTGTGTGTGTATAGACACCGCTTTCACAGGCTTTTACTTCTTCAGAAAAAGACCATCATCTTGAAAAAGATACATGCAACTTTCACTTAATTTCCCATTGGAAACCCCAAGAACTTAAAGAGTCATCTCACTGACTGGCACCAGGCATTCCTACCATCTTCACAAGTTTTCCCATGAACTCCTGGGGGGCTCTGGCATTACCTAGTCAGAAGATCACAAGTGCCTCCATTCTGACAATTACAGATGCTGCCACATTCTTTCTCGTTGGTCTCCAGGGAACAAGCTGTGAAGAAAATAGAGAAGATGAACAGGTAATAGAACACATGTTCTGTGATACAAATGGAGGGAAAAAATAGCTTGTCTTTCTATCAAGATAGATACCAACTAATTAAAAACTCAGTAGCTTACAGACCCAGGAAAAACTTTTGGCATGTTCCTAGTTTGTATAGCATAATCACTCCTGAGGGGATTACTGATAGGGGTAGTTAAAATAATGATGACTGAAAAAATTGCTAGCAAGTTTCAAATGCAAAATTGTTTTAATTCTTAAACTCTAACCCTCACACTTTCAAAGCTACCCAGACAGACATTTTTGCTGTACAATTCTAACCAACCCTAATGAGAAACAAACTGTATCTTCTATTTTGAAAACTGAGGGAAAATGCTTTTAAAATGTTGCCGGGCGCGGTGGCTCAAGCCTGTAATCCCAGCACTTTGGGAGCCTGAGGCGGGTGGATCAAGAGGTCGAGAGTTCGGGACCATCCTGGTCGACATGGTGAAACCCCGTCTCTACTAAAAATACAAAAAATCAGCTGGGCATGGTGGCGTGTGCCTGTAATCCCAGCTACTCAGGAGGCTGAGGCAGGAGAATTGCCTGAACCCAGGAGGCGGAGGTTGCGGTGAGCCGAGATCGCGCCATTGCACTCCAGCCTGGGTAACAAGAGCAAAACTCCGTCTCAAAAAAAAAAAATGTCATATACTTTTAATCAGGAATAAATGCAGCTAAGGTTTTCATGGGGGTCCCAATACAGTTTGCATTGTTAAAAATAATATAAAGTCAGGCATATAACAGTTTTCATCAGTTTGTTGGCATTTTTTGTGTTTAGTGCTCTATAAAAACAATAAATTGGGACAATGTCTGTGACTTTATATTTTAATGTAAGCAAATATAGCTGTTGAGATAATTTCAGTAATCATTGTAATTGAAATTTTATCATAATAGGTTAAATGTTATAAAATTCCATTTATATAATCTTCTCCGTTCATCCCCTGCTCCCATTCCAGATGCTAATATGGAACTTGGCTTCCTAGTCACCCTTTGATTTCAAGTCATAGGCTACCATGAAAGGGAAAAAAAGAATAAAACAAAAAATGAGAGACTGGCAACAAACATTTGTTGGGGCCTATATGAGTAATTTACATGTTAATGTTTGAATTTTAATAGCAATTATAGAAAGGGCAATTTAAAAAAAAATCTGTAAAATGAAGTTAAGGAAGTTTAAATAGCTTGCACAGTGTCTGGATTATAGCATATCATCAGTATAGACCAGGCATCCCCAAATTTTTTACACAGGGGCCAGTTCACTGTCCCTCAGACCATTGGAGGGCCGCTACATACTGTGCTCCTCTCACTGACCACCAATGAAAGAGGTGCCCCTTCCTGAAGTGCAGCAGGGGGCCAGATAAATGGCCTCAGGGGTTACATGGGGCCCGCGGGCCGTAGTCTGGGGACGCCTGGTATAGAGAAACCAACACTATAACCTGACACTCCCTCATGAACTAAACTGTGATTATCATATAGTATATAGATTTGCCAAATACTTCAATAGACCGAATAGTGCAAAGATCCTGGGGAAGAAAGCAAATATATCCTAAACCATAGCTGGATGATGTAAAAAAAGGTCATAAATCTCTCCTCCCATGTTTTAGTCTACTCATTTGTCATACAAAAAATATTCCTATCTTTCCTTTCCACTGGATAGAGTCTCACAATAATAAATGATTTTAACATGAAGTCTTTTCAGAAGAAACGGGGTTCTAAAAATGTGCTATTATAATTAAATAACATATTGTCATTTTAAAATTATTGCAGTATAATGATTGAAGAAATTGCTAAGAAATCAAAGTGAATATTTTCATTATAGACTAATAACTATATTGGGCTAGAAGATCTACTCAATGGGAAATCTGACTTCCTAGATCTCCACTGAAAGCTCCTTTTCACTTCTTTTGCTGTATTTGAAAAGCTGGCAATCTTAAAAATATAGCCAATGAATAACCGCTCTCTCCCACTTATTGTAGTTTAAAGGAATTCGTTTTTATTATTTTTATTTTATTTTTTTGTAGAGACTAGGTCTTCCTTTGTTGCTCAGGCTGGTCTCAAACTCCTGGCCTCAAGTCATCTTCCTGCTTCAGCCTCTCAGAGTCTTGGGATTATAGGCATGAGCTGGCACCCCTGGCCAATAGAAATTTTAAAGAAAATATTACCACTCTCTCTTTTGGTTAAAAAAATAATGAACAATTATTTTGCATTTTTCCCTAAATGGATTGTTCTGTTTCCATTTTTGTAAAAGGAATGAGAGAAGGATAGAGAGAAAATGCAAAGAAGATAGAAGGTCTGCTTCCAGGGGTAGACTCCTCTTTATTGCAACATGCAAAAATTTAAGAGATCTCCAAGGTTTTCTAAAGCCAAAGAAGATGCCATCTCATCTTTATTTTATCATTAAGCTCATTTTCAATATTTTGATATTAATTTCATATCATAGATATTTTATTCTTATGTGTTAAAGATAGATTTTTATTTTTTTATTTTTTGTTTTTAAATTTATTATTGTGTAAAATATTTTCATATTAGTTTTTTATTTAGTTTATTTTATTCTTATTTGTTTGAGATAGATTTTTTGCTTTTTAAAAATTATGTTAGGGATCAAGTATTGGGAGATGCATGTTTATCAATAAAACTTAAAATACAAGGTAAATATTAACTTATTAGTAGTCATGCAATAATATTTCTTTGATCCCAATTTTATATATTTGGGTGTGTCAAGTTGCAGGTCAATGCAGCTGGGGGTTTCAACACCAAGTTTTATTCATGTGTGTATTCATGCACTGGATGCTTCCAATGTGGAGAAATTCACAATGAATAAGCATGAATAGGATCTGGCCAGTGAACTCTCAGTCTAGTAAAGAAGATAGAAAATGAACATAGTAAACTAATCCAATATATATAGAGAGAAATTTTTAAATCCACCCAAAAGATAAATAGCTGTGTTAGACTGAGGCCATCAAATAAAGCTTCATGTAATTGGTGGCAATAGGCCTTCCAGGTGACAGTTTAGCAAAAGGTACAAAGATGAAAAGTGCAGCACATTAAGAAGTGAATGGTTTAGTTTGCCGGAAGTCATAGGTTGGGCAATGAGTTATGACTAGGACAAAAAGCCAAAGGATATATGGGAGTCTGATGGCCATTAGTGACTGGGTAAGCTGTGTACACTTTATGTGCAAGGAAAGATACAAAATTTTTGAGCAGCAGAGAAACATGATCAGAGGGACACATGAGGGACATCCTCAAAACCCTAACAAGTAAGCTTGGTTAAACTTTCTATGTTATCACTCAAGTTTTGCATCTATAGCATTCAATAGTAATAACAATTGTGTTCTTCCCATATTTAGAGAGTTCAAAAGAACATCTGTTCACATCATCTTGCAAGCCAATCACAAAGACTAGGACAAAACATTTAAATAAGTAGAACTCAAAAGATGAATTTAAAAAGAGAAAGAAGAAACAGAGATAGTTAATACATTGTATTTTATCACTTGGAAGTTTTAACTACTGAAAGCATACCTTCATTTAAAATATGAAAGAAAGTAATTTGGGGAAATATCATTTTTAAATCTTTGAACTTACTCATGAGAGCTCTGTATAAAAAAGTTAAACCAGTGTCATTGGCTGTGTTAACACATTTTTAAAAAGAAAAAGAAAAAAAAGCTATACAAAACCAAGCAGCAAACAGTCAAACAAGTTCATTTAAATTGCACTTTGTAGTACAAATCCTTTCCTTTTTTCTTCATTGGGAATAGCTTGTCAGGTCCTAATGATTTATTTAAATGGAGGGATTTTTATAGGTCTAGAATATTAGGATCCTTTATTAACTTTTACGTTCTGTGGATAAACAAGAGACAGCATGTCAAGTTTCCTAGGGAACACAAAATCTCCTTTTTTAATCACATATTCAGTTTAAAACCTCAGCGCTTCATAAGCATTATTTATGTACAACAAATAAATTGGCGTCTTGTAGGTAGCAATTGCTTACTTTAATAAAACGCTTTGGGGAGAACATATATAAAGGGGTAGTTTGGGGTGCTTACCCAATTCGCAGGGTATCACTTACTTTCATTACAAGAATGCCACCCCAACCTGCTGGGCAGGAGCAATCACTCTTTCTTTCCTGGCACTTTCCTCCATTCATGTGGTCCTTGCAGCTCAAGCTGCAATTGTGTCTGAAGATGTAATCTAAACAGACTGTCATGTGATGCCATCTTAGCCCGTAACTGTCTATGTAACTAAAAATCAAAATAAAACCCTTAATTTTCCTAAAAAAAACAAAACAAAACAAACAAACAAACAAAAAAAACAACTATGATCCTTGAGCATAGTTCTTAAGGAAACTTTAAACAAGACAACAGCAAGCTGTGGCATTTAAAATAAAGCTTATTTTACTTTTTCCAATTATTACATTGGAATAGTATCCCTAAGAATATTTAGAATCTTTAGGAATTTCTTTTTTAAAAAAGAAATTATTGATTTGAGAATAAAAATATAATGTTCAATGTTACTGAAATTTTGATGCTTTTTCTTTCAGGATTTTTAAAGCAGGGTTTTGTTTTCTAAGTAAATCTTTTTATTAAAATTTAATACACACACAGAGAAGTACACAAATCTAAACTGTATGCTTTAAACTTCTTTTCACATTGTAAACAACTTATGTAAATGTCACCCTGATCCAGATACAGAATATTACTAGGAATTCAAAACCTCCAAGGTGACTTGATAATTTTCAATCATTAATTTCATATATTAAGCACTGTGATCTCTATCACTACAGACTGTTTTCTCTCTTCTTTTTTAACTTTTTATAGGTAGAATTGTAATGTATGTACTCTTTGCTGTCAAACTTCTTTCATGCAATATAATGTATGTGAGATTCATCCACATTGTGTAAGTTTATTTTTTATGGTTATATGGTATTCCATTGTATTAATGTACCACAATGTATTTATTTATCCATTCTGTTTTTGAGGGAAATTACCATATCAAATAAAGGTGGAGAGAATTGTATTCAGTTGTTTGAGGCTCATTCCATTTTAACTTTTGTCCCTGTTTCTAGGGTAGGGCCTTTATGATGCCATAATTGAAACCCTGGCATTTTTACCAAGGCCTCTGTACTTTGGCAGGTTGTGAGCTCCAGCTTCTGCCTCCCATCATCATGAAACTGCTGATAAATGTGCTTCACTCTTCAAGTTCTTCACAGCTATCCATCAACTGGCAAACGGCTTGAGGAGAGAAGCACTTGAGACCATCCTGCTTGTCTGGTCTTCTCTTCTTTGCAGATATTGGCCACTTAAATTATGACTGTCTTTGTTGCCTCCAACTATTTCTCTTCGGACTTTGATTAGCCAAAGCATAAGGAGTTTAATTAAGAAACAGGGCCGGGCTCGGTGGCTCACGCCTGTAATCCCAGCACTTTGCGAGGCCAAGGCGGGTGGATCACGAGGTCAAGAGATCGAGACCATCCTGGTCAACATGGTGAAACCCCGTCTCTACTAAAAATACAAAAAATTAGCTGGGCATGGTGGCGCGTGCCTGTAATCCCAGCTACTCAGGAGGCTGAGGCAGGAGAATTGCCTGAACCCAGGAGGCAGAGGTTGCAGTGAGCCAAGATCGCGCCATTGCTCTCCAGGCTGGGTAACAAGAGCGAAACTCTGTCTCAAAATAAAAGAAAAAGAAACATTAAAGTACTTCTGTTTTTATACAGAAACATTTATTGATATTATGATTTAAGAACTGCATAAAAATATTTTTCCTATTTTTCTGAATACATTCTAAAGCAATCATCAAGCTTTGATATTATTAAAATACAACAAGTAGGGAGAGAACAAAAAGAACAGCTCTGTTTTACAAAGAAAAGAAAAGAAAGCAGTGGACTGGCTGCAAACTGTTACTTATGATAGAGACTGACTTTGATCAGAATTGAGTCGATGCTTGAGTTCTGTTGTTTAGATACATAAGAAAAACTGCTCACATTTCAAAGAGTTTTGGTCCACTTAAGCATATTAAACAATTAGTTGTCTGCATTATAAAACCTAGAAAGGAATTATAGTTTAGGGCTATTTAAGGTAAATTTTAACTATATAAAGTAATTTCTAGTGGAATTTTAATAGAAGAATTAAAAGATCTCAAACTTTCTCCCATTATGCTAATTTAAAGATATTTTTCAGCTCCATTTTCCTGTATTAACTTCAAGAGCACCCCTCCACCCTGTACTCCCACTTCTACAAGTACCTACACAGCACTCCTTTATTGTACAAAAGGAAAAAAAAAAAAAAGACAAAAGATGATGGATTTGACAGGAAACTGAAGAAGTGACTTTGGCTCTACTTTTCTTGCAAACTTTATGTTAAAACATATGACGGCATTAAATATTGATAGTAAAATTGTCTACAAAAATGTAGTAAATTGTCTAAAAATAAAAGTGAATATAAATGCTTTTACACACCACATTTGTGCAAAGCAGTCAGTTCTCTACGAATATCTTTTTCTTCTTCCTCCTCATCTTCTTCATCTTTGTAGGTGGGAGGCAGAAAGGTAATAACATAATGAAGCTGTTGAGGTGGACTCTTGAATAGAAGACCTGGAAACCTCACAACTTCTAATTCCTCTTCTTCCTCTAGCTCATCATCATCTAAAGCTAAGGCCATAGAGGAAAATGCGAGGTTTCAACTTGGTTAAAAGAAGGAAAACTGTGCAAAGGTTGATAGAGAAATGAGAGATTTTGAACTAGACAGCCAAAGCAGGGGGTGACAGAAAGGTAAAATGCTTTGAGATGGCCATTTCAAAAGTCTATTGTAAATGAAGGTGAGAAGCTGCCAGCACAAAGTTAAAACTGTAGCAGAGAGAACAAAAGAAGATAAGGAAAGATCTTAGTCTGTGACAAGAGAAAGGGAAAGGCAGGTTGATTTAAGAAATATGTGGCCTCCATTGCTCCTCAAGAACAAAGCCGGGCGCGGTGGCTCAAGCCTGTAATCCCAGCACTTTGGGAGGCTGAGGCGGGTGGATCACGAGGTCAAGAGATCGAGACCATCTTGGTCAACATAGTGAAACCCCGTCTCTACTAAAAATACAAAACATTAGCTGGGCATGGTGGCACGTGCCTGTAATCCCAGCTACTCAGGAGGCTGAGGCAGGAGAAGTGCCTGAACCTGGGAGGCGGAGGTTGCAGTGAGCCGAGATCGCGCCATTGCACTCCAGCCTGGGTAACAAGAGTGAAACTCCGTCTCAAAAAAAAAAAAAAAAAAAAAAAAGAACAAGATAAGGATGGAAGCAGTTTAGAAAATACATTAACACAGTAAAATTCTTCAGTGACTTACAGGTGGAAGTTTTTCTGTCATTTCCAATTCTGTAGGCTTCTTCACACTACATTCGTTATGTTCCCACAGAATTAATGTAGCTGGTCATGACTATACTGACATCCAGACACTCATCCACATCTAAGAAAATTTAAACAATTTCTGCTTTTAGGCATTGAGAGAGAAGATAGATCTTCGAAAATAATGGGCAAATTTGTGTCTCTCTTGTGATCTTTATTAATCCATAACAATGTACTGCCACATAGAAAGCAAGCATAGCCCCCCATTTTTTTCTCAAGTACACTCTGCCAATGATTTCTCTCTCACTGATTTTCAAGTTTACCGAACATCATCTACACAGAAAAGGCATTTCTGAGGCTTTGTTTGTGAGGTTTAGATGAAGAACTTAGAATAAATTCAATAGTCTCAGGCTGTGTACCCTTTGTGGAATGTTCATTCACTCTTGAATTACTCAATATATATGATAGAAAACATACTCTGTGTATAAGTCAGTACAAGGTTTGTAGAGAATTTCAGAGATGAAAGAATTTTAGGCCTTGACTGCATGTGAGTTACTGGTTTATGACCAAATTTGGGTCCAGACTTTGGTCAATACCTTCACAATACTAAAAGTTCATCTGTGAGCTTCTAAGCTTTACCTCAGCTTGTTGATGCCTTTTCCATTTGCATGCCTGTATACAAGTATGTATGTTCATACCATACAATCATCTCTTGGCTCATTCTGCTTAAGAGCAGATGGTACATAAATTTTAAAAATGTTTTTGGCTCTGTTAATCGGAGGTAATGTGGTAAGTGGCAATATACTCTACTGTGTTTAGTATATATAGATATCATAGTTGTGTGTTCATTGCTGTTATCTTCATTGCAAGGCTGGGGGAGCTTGGCTATCTGTCATCTTTGACAGAATTCTGAGATTTGTTTCTTTAAGCAAAGAAAAACTAATTTCTCTGAGGCATTACAGTCTTATATAATTTGATTATTATTGGAATAGATATCAATCTTCTAACCTTTACTTTGACTTTAAGAAAAATCAGTTCAAAATAATAATAATAATAATAATAATAAAATGAAAATGTTAAGATTAAACATTTAAGGAAAACTTTTAAATTACAGTAATGACTATATGAGCTATTCTTAATTGTATAAACAAAGTCAACAAACTCTACTCACTAAATTCAAACTCTTCTATATTAAAAAGAAAATACACAAGCCAAAAAATCACCTGAAAGTCAAGTGAACTAATTTTAACAAGTAAGGAAACTGTAAATGACTCATTTTAAAACTTGTATTAGCTATATTAAGAGCAGATATGTAAGGGATTCTGGTACAGATTTGGACTGTGGCTTGTGAACTGACAGTCCTTTTGCTCTCTAACTAAAAGAACTCAGTTAAAATGCCTTTCAGTAACCAACTTTCTAATTCCAGTCAAGTTTGCCATGGGTGGTTTCTTTGGCAGTGTGCCTTCCAGAATCTCTCATTCGCCTTTAATATATATTGAACTGTGCGAAAGGGATTACGGGCCAATGAATATGATAATAATAATAGCTCCTTTAAGTTGAGTAATTTTTCTATGTCAGCCACTGCACTAGGCACTTTACATTTATTACTTTTCTTAATTTCCCCACTAATCCTATTATTGTCATCACTTTACTGAAGAGGAGCTAAGGCTCATAGCAGTTGAAGTCGCCCAAGTTTAAATGATAGTAAATGGTAGAATCACATAGAAATATGACTAACTATCTTTAGTGTGAAAGCCTTCCCTTGCCCGCCCTGGCCCTCTGCCTCAGACATTTCTCCTCCTTTATTACTCCATCACGTCAATTATTTCATGTTAAAACTCAGGAATTTACCATCACATCCACAACCATCTGAACTGACCTGAAAGCCTTCCTGACAACTGCATTAGTAGCCTCCTAAATAGCTGATGCAGAGCTGGGCACAGCAGGTTTCTCCATTCTCACATTTATCAAGATCTGAAGGGAGAAATAGCACTGCTGTTAGTGCAGAGACAGGTTTGATGATTCTATAGAAGCACTGATAAGATTCACTTCTAAATTAAAGCTGTTTTACTGATCATTTTCTATTTATCAGGCCATGTAATACAAACAGCGGAGAAACCTTAACACAAAAATAAGGAGACCCACTTTTGGTTTACGTTTCTTCATGCTTCTTCTATGCCTGTTATTTATTTTAAAAGAATGTAAATAATCTCCAAATGCATTTATAAGCATAGGAAAATATCTCTCTGCTATTTTTCCAGTGTAAACGGTAATTGGACTGAATAAACAGAGAAGCTGAAGAACAAAAAAACAGCCTAAGAAAAAGGAGACAAAAAATTCCATTTAGTGAACATTTGACAGCTGCAAAGAGGAGACAGTCTTAGACACCGTAACATGTTTGTCCTTCTAGAACTTTAGATCAAAGAGTGTTTCCAGGCAAGTGATCCCAACTGCCTGACTGGGAAGACAAGTGGTAACTACAGTTCTGAGAGAGGGCAGAAGACTTATTTTAAGAATTATGTTTTAAATTATAGAACATTTCAGAACATTTGTTTGAATATTTAGATTATACTGTGACTGAGATGAGTGAGGTCTGGGGTTTTTTTCTTCCATCTGTGACATCATTATCCTGAAATGCCTTGTCAGATAAGCAATTTTCTAAGTAAGGATCTTTAAGCCTCTTTTAGCACAATTATTTCAGAATTCTACAATCCTGAGTGCTTTCTATTAAGATATAACTGCCCTGGGGAAAATAGAAATGCACCAGAAGATGTCAAATTGTAAGTTTTCGGTCAAAGGATAACCTATTTAACCTGAGTTTTGAGGCGAGATCATTTCTAACATAATTGGTCCAGGAAGTAGCAACATATAATTTGTCCCTGCTTTCCTTAGGCTGAACACCTGGGAATTATTTGGTCAGGGTTGTTTTTTTTTTTTTTTCCCACTCTAGGCCTTGGTTCAATTTGAGACCCTCTGTTTGTTGAGTTGTTAAGGTGGGTGGCCAGTCAGTGCTGAGTTTACAAAATCCTATTATTCCATAACTACATAAGCAGCTACAGATAAAAAAGGTCAGTGTCTCAATTAACCCTGGAAAGGGTATCAACTCAACAAAATGAAGACAAGAAAAAGAAAGGAAAGAAAATGCAATCAGTCAATCAAGGTGAAGGGTCACCATAAAATATCTCAATGAAGGTCATTTAGACATAAAACATTCTTTTTCCCCAAAAGTGTCAAAAGCAGAGCTACTCATAAAATTCTAAATGATATTATTTTTCTTTCTAGTACTAAATCTTTCTTTTATTAATCCTTTTGATTAAATAGTATGATGTAGAAAATAAAAAACTTATAAAATATTAATTTTCAAGGCTGGGCATAGAGGCTCATATATAATCCCATAACCTTGGGAGACTGAGGTGAGAGAATCGCTTGAGCCAAGAAGTTTGAGGTTGCAGTGAGCCATGATTGTACCACCTGCACTCCAGCCTGGGTGACAGGGTGACACCCTGTCTCAAATAAATAAATAAATAAATACTCATTTCTAAAGACCATTTATTCACTGGTAAAAAGGTAATTATTCATTTGCAAATGTACACATACATATTTTACTTATTTGAGAACAGACTAATGTCACAGACGCTTTATAAAAAACAGTCATGTATATAGGAAATCAAGAAATTTTCTTTTTATTTTATATTAGTATCAACTTTGAAAAAATATATATGAAAATGTACAAAAAATCTGAAAAAAAAGTCAGCCAGTCAGCACATAGTTAATTAGAACTATCCAAAGGCAAAAACTTATGAGGGCTTAAACCTGAGATGTGTTAACAGAATTTGAAAGACAGGCATATAAAATACAAATGCCTGACAAGCAATAAGTCACTAAATTTAACAACTGGCCAGTTATTAGAAAATATTTATTATTTCTAATCTTATTCAGTAACTATATATGGGGAAGAGATACAGAAGATCAAGTTTTTCACTTTTGATGCTTTTCTAAAATCAAAGCTGAAATGTTTCATTGTTTTGCCTGGCTGCAATTGGTCCTCTACTTTTCATTAGAGCTAAAGTTTTACGTATGGATTAATTTCGGTACAATGCTAAAATGTTTGGCATAATGGCCAATTTAGGAAAAGTATGATCATCAGAGAGGAGGATAATTAAAAGGGAAAATTAAGCATAACAAAAGAAAAGGAAATATTAAATAATATTGAGGAAATATTAAGCATAACAAAAGAAAACAAACAGGGTATCATTATTCCTGAATGATGACAAATCACTGCTTTCAGAACTTGGAAGTATTTTCAGAATCAGGACACATAGTAATGTAGTTTAATACTTGCCATTCCTATGTTTAGTCGCAAGCAAACATCTAACAAAATAAAATTTGAAAAAATTTAGAAAACGGGTGATGTAATAATTGAGTGGCAAGACATTTTAATAAAAACTTGTGATGTAGGAAGAATGGGGTTTCAGATGAGTTCCAAATGAGAATTCTATATATGAGACAAGCTAGAATAGCCCCGGAGGAACGTTAATAGAAGAAGAATCCAAAATGGATCATAAAATGATAGACTGAGGGACTTATTTTCCAACTGTGTGTGATGCAGTGTTGCTCCTTGCTATTTGAGAACAGGGAATCCTGAGACCTGTAGGTCTGAAGGCTCTGGTGGTATCTGAGAAGACTTTTTTAAAAACTTGAAAAGTTTTTTAAAAGCCTAAGGAATAATGTTATAGATGAAATAAAACATTTATTTATTTATTTATTTATTTATTTATTTATTTATTTATTTTTGAGACAGGGTCTTGCCCTGTTACCCAGGCTGTAGTGCAGTAGTGCAATCACAGCTCACTGCAACCTCAATATCCTGGGCTTGAGTGATCCTCTCAATTCAGCCTCCCAAGTAGCTGGGAGTGTACCACCATGCTGGTTAACTTTTAAATTTTTTGTAGAGGTGGAGTTTCCCCATGTTGCTCCAGGCTGCCAAATTCCTGGACCAAGCAATCTTCCCACCTCAGCCTCCAAAAGTGTTAGGATTACAGGCATGAGACTCAGCGCTTGGCTTTGGTTTTCTTTTCATTGCTGGAAAAATGAAATTAACTTGAGCCATAAACAATATAACATTGTCATATTGACAGCTGAAATTTCACAAATAGGCAATTTTCTACATTTTAACCCTGGCAGATGCTATTGTTTTCTAGCTATAAATAAGAACATTACTGAGTTGTAGTTTTCAAAGAATAAAGAAAACACTAAATTTAGGTTGCAAAGCAAAGGCCCGGCAAAATTTCAGTTTCTCTTATCCAATACTCAAAAGAGGAATAAACATGGAGAGCTATAAGGAAGAAAGGAGAAGATGGAGGGAAAAAAGAAGCAAGCAAGGAAGAAAGGCCTTAATTTTTTTCTATGGATGCAAATCTTATTATGGTAGGAAAAAAAGTAAGCATGTTTTTCATTAAATAATAAGATGTGAGGAAAGCAATTGGCTTCAATATGTTAACCACTGTAGACTCTGAGAACAATACTGAAAGCAATGTCGGATCAAGAAATACAATTACATTGTTTTGAATGTATAAAACCAGAATACTGCAGAATTTCCTGAGTTTCATTCTGTGTCATCATCCTGCTGAAGTAAAATGTCTTAAATACTTAAACCATTGATTTTTTTTTCTTAGACTTCAAGTTGTCTCTATCTAACCATACTGAGTAGCATCAAATGGTCAAAATATTTTTATTGTCATTTTTAAAAGAGAAAATATTAAGCATAACAAAAGAAAACAAACAAATAAGGTATCATAATTCCTGAATGATAACAAGTCACTGCTTTAGAAATTTGGAAGTGTTCTCAGAACCAGGGCACATAGTAATATAGTTTGATACTTGCTATTCCTATTTATAGTAGATATTCCTTTTTCTCAGAAATGTTTCATTATGAAACAAGGTTAAGGTAGAATTTTATTTTCTTCATTTTCTCAAATGATATAAATTCTAATAATATGTTGAGAAAGTTAGCATTTAAAAATGAATTTGAGCTGGGAAGTCCAAAGAATGAATTTTTTAAAGTTGTCTTTTAGAATACAGCTATCTGCCATCCAAAGTTAAACATACACCCCAAACATTGCCAAGTTGAAAACCAATGCAAATAATTTAGTTTCTGCTTGAGGTAGAGAACATTGGGGTACGTGACAGCATTTGATATTGAAATTACAAATTATGTTAAATAGTTGGCTAGATCATGTAATATTTTCCCGAAATAAATCTATTAAGGGGATCTATTTCATGGAAGTGTTTGAAATCTCCTTTAACTTCAAGGTAAATATCTAAATGTAATGGTATCTTCTGCCAGGTACTCCTTCCTTTACATTTATTCAGTAGCGAAAGACACTCTTTCTCTTCAATTTATTTGTTCTTACAGTTTGAGAGATATGGTTCATGTTACAGCAGTAAGTACTACAGATTAAAAAGCTAGATTAATCCAGAGCAACTTTTGAATGAAGATGGCATTTACCAAACATTACCTATGCATGTTTTCTCATCTGAATCAAGCTGGTATCCATGGTTACAGGAACAACAGGGAGCACCAATTGCGTGTTCACAGTGATGGGAACAACCACCATTGTTCTTTTCACAGCTATTGACAATTTCCAACTCAATTCCTTTCCAAAACCAGCAAAAGAGGATTATTAGCATAATAATAGAGAAACCTGAATATATGTCAATAATGGACACATTCTCTCTATTGAGAGGATGACAAACTTTATTAGAAATCCATCAACACTCTACATATAAAAGTCTATTAAGCATTGTAAATGCCTATACCATATTAAATACTAATAAACATATAAATAATATTGAGTAAGTGATACAGAAAGATAATGATGACGCCACCACTGATTATTAAACACTTCCTTTAAGGAAACATGTTTTGGGAATTCTCGGTATTTTCGGGATATAATAAATATAATATATATACACATACATATATTGAATCAATGATCAAAAATCAAATAGGTTGTTTGCCAGCTGACATTTCTGTTCTTGAGGTAATAGTACGTTACTATTTGTCCTTCTTAGGGGCTATGAGCACATGAAAATACTGTTAAAAATATTCTTGGATTAAAAGTGTAAATGCAAACCCAATGATTTAGTTGATCACATGTAACTAACTAGGGTCATATTGATGCGTAATCAGCTTTGATTTACATGAGAATCACTTATTACATAAACAAATTATTACTGTGAAAATAAATTTGGCTGGTACATGCTACTAATTTCAGGCATACTGGTGGGCATGAGCCTCAGCAGATGAATGCCAATTGTCCTGAGCACACAAGCATTATAGTCTCTCATTTTCTAAGTCACAAAATGAGAATTACAAAAATGTTCAGAATCTGTGTTAAAATATGCAATTTAGATACTCTGCCATTTTTACCACTGAAGGTCTATGGGTCTTTATGTTATATGAACACACCTCTTCTTACTGAGTGCCTATATTGATTTATTTCCTCTGAGTCTCAACTCATGAATCATTTAGAAGAAAAAAGCTGGGGGGCGGGGAAACAAGAGTATTTGGGATTGTGACACTCCTTGAAAGCATGTATCACCATATAGTGGATGCCTAGACATCCGCTACAGTTCCAGAAACCATTCTACCTAATCCCTGGCATCCAGTCCAGGGCACACAGGCCCCTCAGATGCTCCCAAGCACCCAGAGCACATCCCTGTCATTGTGCCCATCCCATTGTGCCACCATCATCTTACACCACCCAGCTTGTAACAGATGTTTAAAATAGGTTTTAAATGATTGAATAAACAAAAGAAGGATTATGCTAATCAATTTATTGTTAAAAATAAGAATCCCTTTGGGTTTAGAAACAGCTAGTTTAGGACTAAGCAAAATTAGAAAGCTAAAGGAAAGATTAGTGAAGGAAATTGATATTTTTCATGAAATATTAACATACTCTTCAGGGAAACCTATTTCAAATGATGTCTCTGGTTGTAGTGATAGAGACACACAGATCTTTCTGATACAGAATTGAAGTTTTTTCTTACATATGCTTGATATTGCCAAATATGGTTCATAAATACTTAAAAAAAGAGGCATTTTAAACTATGAACCATATTTGGTATCTTAGAGTCTATCAAAGTAACCTCCGTCATTTCTTAGAAAAGTAAGGTCAGTTGATACGAAATCACTTCAGTAACATTTATGGACTGTTGGTTGTAAAAGCCAGGTCTACCACAGTCATTTTTCCCCCTACTATATGACATTTACTCTCTCAGATAGCTTTCATATTAAAGTTCAGATACACATTCATTTTTAAATTTATTTTTTAAAAATATTATTCCAACTAAATGAAGTTATTGTAAATACACTTATTTGAATGTCTAAATTATGCAAGGTATCATATGTTCTTATTAATCTAAATAATATAAGTATTAAATGATTTTTTTCTTAGGATCAATCAGAAAATTGAGGTTCAGAAAGGATAAAATACTTGCCTAAGATAGCAGAGCTGGTAAGAACCAAAGCTTTCTAATTCAGAGATGTTTTCCTATATAATATCATTTGTAAAGAGAAAATAACTAGGCGTGGTAGCTCACACCTCTATCCCAGCACTCTGGGAGGCGAAGGTGTGCAGATCACTTGAGCCCAGGAGTATGAGACAAGCTTGGGGTAATATAGTGAAATCCTGCTTCTATGAAAAAATACAAAAAATTAGCTGGGCATGGTGGCACATTTCCATGGTCTCAGATACTCAGAAGGCTGAGAGGTGGGAGGGTTGCTTGAGCTGGGGAGGTCATGAGCTGTGATCTTGCCTTTGCACTATAGCCTGGGTGACAGAATGAAAATTTCATCAAAAATTAAAGATCTCCTATTTTTTTTAAAAGCTAATAACCTATGTTACATTCATTATGAAAGATAGCTTGGCAGTCTTATAAACTTAAATATACATTTATGCTATGACCTTGTGATTCCAGCCCTAGGTATTTACTGAAGAAAAAAATGATTTTTTTAAAGTATGTTCATATAAAAACCTGTAAAAATGTTTATAGAAGCTCTCTTCATGATTACCAAAACCTGGAAACAACTCAAATGTCCTTAAATGGGTGAATAATAAACCAACAATAGTATATCCATACAATAGAACACTTCTCATCAATGAGAAGTATTCTACTGTTGCTCTTCATATGAGCAACGACTTGGCTGAATCTTAATGGCATTATGTTGAATAAAAGGTTACACACAGTTTGATTTCGTTTATATGACATTCCTGAGAAAACAATATTCCAATGAGGGAGAACAATCAGGTAGATGTCAAAGGCTAGAGATGAGGAATAAGTGACAAGCCAAGGGTAAGCACAAGGGGGTTTTCTGGGGTTGACAGAACTGTTCTTAATCATTACAGAAATCTGTATGTGTTAAAATTGACATGATTATATACTGAAAATGTTAATTTTACTGTCTAAGTAAAAAATAAATGAAGAAGAAAGAAAACCCTCCCTAGTTTCCACATTTTCTACAGTTACTGCCACATTGCCTAATCCTTAGCAGCACTTGATACCATTGACCATGTACTTCTCCCAACTTTTAAAATTTTGTTCTTCAGAAAATCACAGTATCCAACTTGTCCTTAAACCTTACTGGACATTCTTTTTCAGTCTTTCCTGTCTCTGTGTCACATTCTGGTTACTAAATGTTGACATCTCCAGTCTCAGTTCTCTCCTGCTTACTCGTCCAGACACCCTCCCTTTGTAGGGCACCCCATTCTTGCTCATGGCTTAAATACTGGCATTTCCAAGTTGACCAGTGGCTCACTCAAACTCTGACCACCATAAACTTCCAGACTTTTCTATTTACTTAGAAAATAGATAGAAACTACCTACATGTTATTTCTACTTGGCTCCCCAAACTTCAAACAGCAGAAATAGAACTCATGATTTCTTTTTTTTTTTTTTTTTTTTTTTTTTTTGAGACAGAGTTTCGCTCTTGTTACCCAGGCTGGAGTGCAATGGCGCGATCTTGGCTCACCGCAACCTCCGCGTCCTGGGTTCAGGCAATTCTCCTGCCTCAGCCTCCTGAGTAGCTGGGATTACAGGCACGTGCCACCATGCCCAGCTAATTTTTTGTATTTATAGTAGAGACGGGGTTTCACCATGTTGACCAGGATGGTCTCAATCTCTCGACCTTGTGATCCACCCGCCTCGGCCTCCCAAAGTGCTGGGATTACAAGCTTGAGCCACCGCGCCCGGCCAGAACTCATGATTTCTAAATATACCCTGTATTTCACCTCAGAACTGGTTCTATTGGACTCCACATTTTAGTAAAGGCATTCTGATTCACCTGTTTTCTAACACCCCAACCCAAAAATTATTATTTATTTTTCTTTTCCTCACATCCACATTAGCAATTTATCTCAGCTGTCTCTGCAAAATAAATTTCGAATCTCAACTCTACTGCTACTAGCTTAATTGAAGCCACCACCACAGCTCACCTGAATGACTCTAATCTTGCTCTCACAGACACTCCCTGCTGTCCATTCCCTATAGAATAGCCACAGAAGTTTTTAAACAAAGAAAATCATATCACATTACTATGTATTCAAAACCATCAAATGCTTTCTCATTACATTTAGAATAAGAATCCAAACCCCTTGTGATGGCCAATAAGTCTTGTACAATCTGATTCTTCCCTTTCCCTGCCTACTGCTCTCACTGACTATCTCTATGCCTTGTTCATTTTTTTCCAACCCACACTGATTGTCTGTTTCCTAAAATATCAAACTCAGTCCTATCTTAGGGTCTTAGTTATTACTACTCCTTTTTCTTAGATCTTCTCATTCTATATTAACACTATCATCTTATAGATGATAGTACACATTTCTTTGGTTAATTTCCTATTTGCTATCTCCTCTGTAGGAACTTATGTTCCATAAAGGCAGGGGCTTTGCCTGACTCATTCATCATTATATCTTTAGTGCTAGAAATAGCACCTGGCATGTGGTAGGTATTTAGTAAGCATTTGTCGAATAAATCAGTGGGTCTAGTACACAGGCATCTCACTCCCTCTAGGTGACAGTTAGCTGAAGGCAAACAATAGCTGTCCTCTTTAGGCCCCAAACTCCCTCTCCAGTTCAAAAATGTCCCTACAACTTCCTATCTTTTATGCTTGGTCTGCCTTACACATTTATATTCATTGCCTGTCTTGTGTTGGTGTTAAAGAGTTTTGGTCCCTGGATTAGATTATATTTAAAATAATGGAAACTATAATAAATCTGTAATATTAATTTATTTTTTAGAGGGCAAAAGAGGTAAAAGTATCTATCTGACAAATTTTATATAGGCTTCTCTTATTCTTGTGATTTTCCAGTGATATGGCATCAATACAGCTTTTAGACTGCTGGTGGTAATTTGATTTAAATATAAATGATACCATGGTAACTTCATTAAAGATATATGGGACTAAAAAAAGTGCAAATTTGGATCTATAACTTCCTACTAGATGCAAGCTGAGATTCTGATTCCTTGAATCAGATGATAAAAAAATGTTTTTATTGTTGTACTTTAAAAATCATACTTAAAACATTCTCATAAGTAGCAACTATATTTTTACATA